CTCCCAGGGGCGTGTGCGTGGGGGGGGGGGGGGGCAGATGTGGTAGAGCAGCTGCCGCTCGCGCAGTGGCTGCATCTATTTGCGGCCTTCGCATGCGTTTGTCATTTTTCGCCCCATGCGGCAGCTTACTTATGGCGGGCTGGTGCCTTGGCAATTGCAGCATCAGGATCGGCCTGCACTGTGCGCGCGCGCACGTGCGCACGCACACACACATACACATACACACACACACACACACACACAGACACACGCACGCACGCACACGCACGCACACACACACACACGCACACGTGCACACACACACTCCTGCGCGCCGTGCAGATGGGGAACGCTGTGCAGTAGCTTGCTTTGCCTTGCGATTTTATAACTGTTTAATGCGCCACGCGCCACTCGCAAGGCATCACGCAGTCGAATCACTCCCACGCATTTGACACACATTTCCACAACGCCCGCCGCCCTGTTGGCGGCCCGCTACCGAGGCGGCCCATTCAAAATTTGAATTTGAAAACTCGCGCTCACGCCGAACCAGGCACCCCGGCCTGGTTTTTGCAGGCCAGGCAATACCGCGCGCGTGCCTATGACCCCGCCAGCCCCTGCGGCAGGTGCGCGCAAGGGCCCCAGCTGTGCAGCCTTAGGACGCGTTGTGAAACTCGCCTGTCCTTTGAGGGCGCGGGCTGTGCTCGAGCTACTTTTTCATGCGCACGTTTGGCACCAAAAAGTGGCCTCATCTTTGCCTGGCGCCGTGGGTCGTTTTGGGGCACGCAAGACTGCGGCCCCGCCGTCCCCAGTCTGACTGAAGAGCGCCCCGCCTTTCTGTGACTGACATATTGGTTGACCACCAACCTTGCGAACCAAGACGGCTCCCTACCCGCCAAAAGGGCAGGTATAGGGAGCAGGGGCTGCCTTTCTTATCCGCCCCGGCCGACGGGCCAGCGTCCCCCCGCCACCAAAACTTAGCCACGCCTCCCGCTGAACGGCTTCCTTCCCAAAACGGCGGGCGCTCGGCTTGGCGCGAACTCCACTTACATGAAAAACCAAGCGGCATGACTGCAAGCACTTGTAACACTAGCACTGATTCAACTGTTTCCATAACAACAAAGCTTGGTGCCTCACACGCGGCAGCGCCGGTCAATTTCACAGCCGTACGCATTCTCACGCCAGCCGCAGCCCCTGCAGCGCCGGCGCCCGCACCGCCACTCCGTCCAGCACGCCCCCCACCGCCGCGCCGCCGCCGCCGCCGCCGTTGCGCCGCCGCGCCGCCGCCGCCGGCGCGG